ATTACCACATGGCACCAATTAGTAGCAAAAAGAGTAGACTTTAAGTGTTTCTCTCCTTCGTTTAAAAAACATTTAAAATTTGTTGTACCTACCATTTGGTGTTCTTAGGTTGCTAAATATCTCTTACTTTGAAAATCTGGCTGCTTGCTTAGATGCATCACCGTCACTAATATGAGGTAGTTTATCAGGATTAAGAAAGGAGCAGTTAAAACCAATCTGCAATTTCAGCACCTTTTGTAATGTTGTGAAAAATGTATCCAAAATAAACAACAACAATTCAATTACTTAAGTTTCAGCCTTTTAACAAAGATTTTTTTTATAGTTTTTCTTTTAATAAGACATTAACAGATGTTTGCATTCTGCTGCAATCACACCGTTAAAGCTTTAATACTCTTCTTGGTAGAAGCAGGTTTATTTTACTGCTTCACATACAGCATTATAGGATATAATTGGCCATTGTACATCACTTCTTTTTAAAGAAACTATATATGAAATTTCCAAACTAGTTGCGCTGTTGAGTGCTGTCTTTTGACAAAAATAAGATGTGTCCAGAGTTCATCTCTCTCTGCTTTCAGTCCAGCAGTTATGCCAGTTTTTGCTTTAATAACTTACGAACTGTAGCCAGAAAACACTCTGAGTGTAACCCACCAAGCAGTTGTTTCCTCATCTCACAATGTAAAGGAATCCGTAAAAAAATCCTCTGCAGATTGTAATCTTGATCACCACCAAAACTAAACTGATTTTAATTTAGGGTAGGAATCACCAGTGTTAAAAATGTCGGAGCAATAAATCAACACTACAGAATACAAAGCATTCTGTGTGGCAATAAAAATAAAACAAAAAGCAAATCTATTATTACAAAGTAAGTCTCCTCAGACAGACACAGTCTAGCTATAAATGTCTTTCATAGGGCTGGACAATATGGCCAGGCCTATGACGGACATTATAGTTGTTGATTTTGAAATGAAGTCAAACATATTGGATTCTAGTTGATACAATATAATTTTGATATCGATAGAACAAATTAAAAGCCTCAGCAGAACTACCAAGAATACCCATGACACAATCCCCTACAAACAGTTTTGACAGGTTTATAAATCTCAAACAGAACATTTTATAACTCTTTACTTAAAAAAAAAAAAAAAAAAAAAAAAAACACATTAAACTTAATTTTGCCCAAAACGTCTGTTAGTGACAAATGGTGTTGACTGTAAAGTATATTATATATATGAAATCTGTTGAAAACTCATATCAGGAAGTGGCGGCCTAGTGGTTAGGGCATAGAGCTTGGAATCCCATGGTTCTGAGTCCAAGCCCCACTCCCACACTGTCACTCTGGGTCCCTGAGCAAAGACTTTTAACTCTTCCCTGGGCGCTGCACAATGGCAGCCCATTGCTCCACAAGGGGATGGGTTAAATGCAGAGTTCATTTCGTTGCTCTGTACTTGTGACAGTGTACTGACAATAAAAAAAGCTGGAAATATCGCCGTTAGTGAATCAGATTATATTGTAATGTATATTAATATTGAATTATTGTCATACCCCTTGTCTATTGGTATTTTTTCTAGAGCTTTGGCGACCCAAAGTGGAAGCGCACCTTAGACTTTGAAAAGCCCCGCCTTATCTCACAATGTTAAGAAGTCCTATAAAAAAAAAAAAAAAAAAAAACACATAAAACAATAAACTAATTTTGCCCAAAACGTCTGTTAATGACAAATAGTGCTGACTGTGAAGCATATTAAATATCTTAAATCTGTTAAAAATTCATATCAGGGAGTGGTAGTCTAGTGGTTAGGATACAGAGCTTGGAATCCCGTGGTTCTGAGTCCAAGCCCCACTCCCACAGACTGCCACTCTGGGTCCCTGAGCAAAGACCCTTAACCCCACACTGTTCCCTGGGCGCTGCACAATGGCAGCCCACTACTCTCCAAGGGGATGGGTTAAATGCAGTGTTAATTTCGTTGTTCTGAACTTGTGACAGTGTAATGACAATAAAAAAGCTGGAAAATCGTCATTAGTGAATCAGCTTATATTATAATGTGTATTGATATTGAAATATTGTCATACCCCTTGTCTATTGGTATTTTTTCTAGAGCTTTGGCGACCCAAAGTGGAAGCGCTACTTAGATTTTGAAAAGCCCTGCCTTATCTCGCAATGTTAAAAAGTCCTTTAAAAAAAAAACTAACAAACAAAAAAAAAAAAACCTAAATGTGCAGCATAATCATGCTAGCCATCCAGCTCGCCACAAAACTGAATGGGTTCTAAGTTTGGCTTAGTCATACCGGTAGTAAAAACTTCAGAGCAATCTGTCCATGATGTTTCCGGTGATCTTGCGTACCATCAAACAAACCAACGTTTTAAAACATGCTACCAGTGCTGCGGAAAACATGGTTTTCTTGGCTGAGGCATTGATAAAAGTTTCACTATTGATGCAGTGTTCTAAAAATATAACCTGTATGCATTTAGATAAATACAGGCCTATTTTTGTGGTGCCTCTTTGTGCTCCTGCACAGTAGCATGGGACACCGAATGTTTGCTTTTTCCTCTCACGCGACCCTCATTAGAAGTTGCTATTTCACTGAACAGATGGACAGACTTAAAGGGAAGCTAATTGACCATTAAGTCAGAGGTCTTTGTTCATTCTCTCAGCACTTCAGATAAGTATGGCTAAGTGGTGCTTTTCTTAACATGGATCACTATCTTATAGAAGGAAACCACAGCCAAGTGTAATATGCCTTTCACTTTGGAGCAAGTATTTACAGCTCTTTGGAAGATTGATCTCCAAATCATTGTTTTATATTATTTCCTAATTTCTTAGCATTTGACTTGACTTTATGAAATAAGTTAATAGTCAAGTCTTTCAAGCCTGTATAGTTGTTTATTGTAATATGCAACAAGTTTTCAAAGAAAAATCAGAGCAGAAATGTTTGGATTCCAGAACTATCGCATAAAATAAATTTGGCAGATCATTTACAGCTTTTCTGCTGAAATTTGACCAAGTTCTATAATGAAAAGTGACATTTGTTTCTTAAAAGGACAAGTGTTTGTTTGTTCAGATTAATGGATGTCTGTATTTATTCAAAGTTGGGAACAGACACAAGTACTTAGAATGATAAACCTCTTGCACCCTTTGTCTTTTTAACGATAAAGTAAAAAAAAAAAAAAGAACTGTCTTGTTAATGAGCTAACTCTATACTGCTGACTGGACAACTATAACCAATTCAATGAATTGTCCCCATACAGTAATAAGAGGGAGTAATATTTTCACTGATTGGAAATGGTACATTTGAAGGTTCCAGCCCTCTGATCAAGAGTTGCGCTTTTCAAGCTGAATATCATAAAAACTCTGCAGCAGATTTCTTTTGCCTTCAGTGAATCTTTGAAGCATAATGCTAAATGTTATATAATCCTAAACCTTACCATCACCGCTGCATACCTCACCCGTAGCTTCACCTAAACTTACCAATTCCTACTTTAGTCCTGAACTAAACCCAACCATCAGGAAAAAAAAGAACATGAGAACAAATATAATCTTGTTACAATTGGTTCTCAATTTTGTGGTGAAATGAGAAAAATGCTTTTCACTCTGATGCCAAACCAGGAGAACACACAGCAGGATATCATCAATCTTGGGATCCTAGACTTTAAAAACCCCTGGAGCCTCCTGTACTAAATTGTAAGAGTGCCTTGCATTAAATATTAAATACATTGACATTTAAAAATCCCCTCCATACTGTTTACAAAGAAGTCTTTTTTTCTCCTAATAAAATAGTCTTGTGGTGACATTGCTTATTCAAAGGTAATGTTTTGCCTAATGTCCCAGTAATCAATAACAGAATGAGCTATCATTAATCTTCTGATAAGCAAAGCTAGATTTTAGGTCATGTTTACTGATCGGAGTGGGTGGGACGTAGTCTGTGGCGCTTTCTCATCACCTTGGAACAGAATACTTTATTGTTTCTTTCACTTGTACTGTTGTTTGATTGTGTTCGATTAAAAAATGCTTGATAAATGTTGGTTATGAGATATTTCAAACATTCGGACTGCAGCAGACTACAAAAAAAGTTTTATTGTGTTCTATTTTACATCCCTTTTATATATTCGAAATGTTTTCTTAGCGTGATCGAGACTCAGACATGGTTGTCAAATGCATTTTGCTTGAAACATAGTGTAATCCACACAGCATTCCTTACAAGCCCGTTTTCATTTCCTCCAGAGGCTTTAGATTGTCCAAATCCGACCCCGGTTCTTAAAGAAACAATAGACCAAATCACTGTTTATTCCTCAACTTTTCATGCTGTCAGAACCTAAAGAAAAACAATCTTGTATTTGCTTGTTAACAGATCAGCTGGTATCTTAGCTGATAGTAACATGGGTGTGTGGTTGACCTTAAACGCCAAACCATTTCTTATCGGCCAGGAAATTATATTTTAGTCCATGCTTGTTTGTTTTTTTTGTTTTTTTTTAATCAGAATAATTTTAATCATTTTTAAACAGGTCATTCTAACTCGCCTAAAGTAGAGTCATACTGACATGATTTAAAAAAACAAGTTTTGCCTTTGGTTCTTTGGGAAAGTGTTTTATGCCATTTGGGAGTGTTTTTCAGTCTTGCAGCTGGTGCCATGTGTCCACACTTTTGCAACAATTAAACCCCTTTTGATGCACTAAAATTGGTTAAAATTAGAAGTGGGATGAGCGAAGTTAGAGTTGCACAGAAACGTGGAGTGGTGGACGATCTGTACAGTGGAAGAGAACACTCTGTGCTGCCAATTTTTCCTCCTACCCCACGTTTCTTAACAACGCGTGGGGCCCCTGCACGCCGAAGATCATTTACACCAGCTGGGTCTGGGTAGAAGTTATCTTTGCAGATACAGCTGATAATAAAAATTAATCTCTGTAATATACTCATCTTGTTTGTTGTTTTTTGCCACATTCTTTTCGACTCCCTTTCACAGAGTGTAACGATCTCCTTACCTTCTCCCATTTTTCTCTCCTCAAGGAATCTCCTCAGGACAGTGCAATCACCAGGGACATAAACAGGACGTTCCCCGCTCATGACTATTTCAAAGACACTGGTGGAGATGGGCAAGATTCGCTCTACAAGATCTGCAAGGTGGGGCAGTAATCCTGACACAGAGAGAGGTTGTTAAATTTGAAGCTAACTCAATGCAGCACATTCTATGCACTGTCATAAAACTGGCTTCTTGCAGTGCAAAACTCTGCAGCAGCAGCAGCAGCTGTACCCAATATAAGCCATGGACTGTTTTGTAGCACATCTGCAAAAGCACATCAGGAGAATGCTTTTCTAGATTTAGACTCACTCTGACTGCCATTGATATAATTACTTTAGGAAGTCTTATGTACTAATCAGTTTTTAACTCTATGATATATTAACTTTGAATGATTATATAACTAATGTTGATGTGTTTAACATTTTTCAGGTAAAGATTGTTCTTTCAATTTATATTTGATATGAAATACCAGCATAGAAGCTTCATTTAACTTAACAAATGTTATACCCAACTCTGTTATTTGCAACCCTGGTAAAGATGCTTTAAAAGCTTTGAAATATGCATCTCACATGGGAAGAGTAACATCTTCAAACTTGGAAAACAAAATCCAGTGTTTTTTTTGTTTGTTTTTTGTTTCTTTTACTTTTTTGGTATGCATCTTACACTAAAATGTTGAAAATAACGTAAAGGGGCATAGTCATGTGAAATTCTTTTAATTTACACCCCAGCTTACTTACTTGGTAACAAAGATTTTCTAAAAGATTGTCATGTTGTCTTGGAGTCTTTTTGTATATTTTATGTTTTTTTGTTTTTTTTGTTTAGGTTGTTAACCTAAACCCTTAGTTTATATTTACACTAAAATTAAGGTATGATACTTTGCATGTATACAGGGGGTAGACAAGAAAGTAATAGGCTGTGAAAATATTTAAGAAAAGTCCAAGATCCAGTGGAATGAAACACAGTAAGCATTTGTCCTTTTTAATACTGATAGTATTGATGGCAGTGATATTGTTAGTTATGACAGTCTGAGTGCAAACAACATTATATAATATTTTATTTTTGATGTTACCTGTTTGTATTTGGTAGGGAGGCTTAACTAGGACTTAAAGTTGTTATAGATTGATTTATTAACATTGGTTGACCTTTGACCACACTGACCTGTCTGTCGCTTTAGAGTGAGGCACTTCAGGACAGTCTGCCACTATTAAGTAGCTTCCTAAAGGCTGATTTATACTTCGAAACTAGGTCGTCTGCGTAGGTGTCGCAGTGAACAAAAAGGCCTCCCTGCCCCCTCCGCAGACACTCCAATGCACATCTCCCACATTGTAACTGACCCCAGACATGAGCCCGGCTTGTGTTGTTTTTATGACCAAAATTGCGGAAAACATCTCGTGAAGTTGGACCAGCTAGAAGAGCGAGGTGCGCAAGAACGCTGGGACCCTTTTTCCACCTGGATCTCCGCTATTTTTCGCTGCCACGTCCCTCCGTTGTCGGACAGAACTCGCCACCACTTCCTCACAGCCTCGGTCTTATCTAGACCTACAGCGTACAGCGCAGACCACGCTTCAATACTGGGCAAAAATCAAAAATATCTGCATCAAGCTCACTGCGACACCCTGCTGCAGGCGTATAACCTGCCCTTAAGTTGTCACCATCTGATAGTTCCATGATATTGCCAGCAGATGGCTTTAACGATGCTGTCAAACGTTGATGATTTAGCCAGCGTATACCAATGTCCCAGAATCCTCAGAAACACTGGCATACGCTGAACTTTCTATGTATTTTTTCAATTTGGGCATATATATAGAGTATTCATAAAGAGTCCAGAACTTAGCCTAACAGCCTAACTTATGCAAAATGCACGGCAGCGTATTCCCATGAAATGTCACAAGCCAGTGTCCTGAAGGGGGCAGGCGCCCGGCCTGCATAAAAAGCACAAGAAGATTTCTCTAAACTTCGCAGTTGCAGTATTAACCTGGCTGCTGTTTACCGCCAACCAAACAATGATAAGAAAGAAAGAAGGTTTGCAGTGGCAGCAGATTCAGCGTCACGTCTGCTAGGAAGTTTGTTGGTTGTGGCCGTGGATGTGAAGGCAGGGAGGATCCATAACACACACCGTCACGCTTACCTTATAATGGGGATGATACAGGTTGGATAAGCTAGACACCATGACCCATGAGTAACTTGCAATTAACGTGTGTCAACAATCAAATTACTTACCTGTAACTTTTGGCCCACGTATGAGAATTCGCTGGCATGCGTCAAGAAATTTTGAGCATGCTTAAAATTTCTTGATGTACCTTCCATATGTCGACGTGTGTTAGCGTGCTTTGGCGTGCTCATAACTTATACAAAAACAGCGTCGGCATATGCTAGCTATATCGTCAAGGGGAGACCGCACCATAAGGAATGTTTGTGTTTCTGCCCTGTCCTTGAATTCTACTTAGTATCTAAAGGACTATTAAAGCACTATGTGGACAGATGCTTTTAATGTAGTACCTTATGTTATGGTTAAAGGGATTTTGTATGGGCATTTAAAGTGACTGTGCCCCTTTAACCCATTTTTTTAAATTTCATTTTAAAAAGTTCATCATGTAGGGGTGAAATTTGTGTTTTGAAATGTTTAGGGTTACAGATTTTTAGATATAAAAAAATCAAAATATAACAGAAGCCTTTTTAATGCACAGCTTTCTTTTTTAGAGACTCAAATTGTCTATGCTACAAAAGTTTAAATATAAATAAGTCAATTTTTTTTTAAATAGTATTTTCCCTTTAATTTAGCAGCTAAGACAATTAGCCCTTGAAATGAAAACCCCATCTTAATTTAATTAATTCTGTTGGAAGATCATTGTATTTACCTGCTTAATTAAAGGGCAAATGCAATATTGATATAGAGTATATTTTATGTTTCTGGATCAGTTTTTGCACAGTAGAAAATCTTTTTCAGTAATCCACTTTACTTCCTTTTCTATCAGTGTTTTTATTATCTGACACCGAGACTTTTGTTGCCAACCTTCAAAATTGGAAAGACCAGAAAAAATTTTTATTATGTAAAAGTCGGGAATTTTCATAGGACAGAAAGCAGCTACTAGATGTCTGTAATTACAGTCAGAGTAATAATTAAATAGCTGTAACATAAAAAGGAACATTTAAAAATGGTTTGGACAAATTCAGCAAAACCAGAGTGTAAAACAAAGCTTTAATTTTTCAGAAAAAAATTGAGTTTCACCCCAAGATAGCTACTAGCATATGAATTTGAAGTCTTCTAGCTTCCTGTCTTATTTTAAATTTTAAATTCTTCCTTTATTATTTTAAATTCTTGAGAAAATAGTTGCCAAACAAGTGTGCGACCACTTACACTTTAATGTCGATAATGTCAATTTATATCAAATATGGAAAAGAAAAACACTACAAACAAGTTTGGAATAGAACAGTGCTTCATTTTCCCATAGTATGAAAATCCAGGTGTTTTTTAGCAGCAAGGGGAAGCTTACAAAAGAAGGGAAAATACTGTATAGTTATCAAAACTGCACATTCAGATCAATGCAGATCAGTAGGGAAAGCTGCCTGTGCCCTTATTAATCAACTCTGTCTGATCTGTTCCTGTGTGGTTCATCGAGTTCAGAAAAGCCTGGAAAATCTAAACGGGTCTCTTTCAGAAACGAGAATCAAAATATAATCAGTAAGAGAACTGCTTGTGTGTTGGAGTGCACAGAAGTCTCAGTATATTAGCTTATGTTATTATTAATTAACATTATTCTGTCATTTTTCTTAGCCCTTTAAAAAAAAAGATATAACTGAAATTATAAGCAGCGTTTGTTCGATGATCTGAGACAGGTGTGACAAACGAACAAAAACAACTACATCGCTGTAGTTTTGTAATACTTGAGTCGTCTGACTGCCTCCTTTTTACACTTTTCAGTTTAATGTCATTCATTATGCATAACTCTTGCGAGGGCATTCATCTCCTTTCAGACAAGCAGCTCCTGAGGTGCTTTTGAATAATTTACAGCGTTCTCCCTTTGCTGTGTTTGGATTGATCCACGTTTTGTATTTTTTGACTTTTACTCATTATGTATGTTTCTGGATCAGTAGGCCACTACAGCCCATTTCCACCCAGTTCTTTCATTTGTCTCACTCTCAGCTTGAATAAATATTAGCATTAAAAATCAAATCTTTGAGTCTCTATATCCATTTTCACTCGCTATAGTTCCTCCCTACCACATTGTTAGGGTTTAGCTTGATTAGAATATCTAGAGCTAAGTCTGATGTTCTGATTGTTGAGAAACAATGTTTTTATAATACAACTGACATAATCTTTTAGGATTTATTTTCTTCTGTTTTAATCTAAATCTGCGCCAAATATTATCTGTAATGAAGAATTTTAACTCAATATGTTGAATTTAGTAAAATGTCTGAATTAATTTTTTTTTTTTTTTTTTACATTCTCTAAAAGCAGTTCTAATAAAATACATGTTTGTGGATGGATGACATTTTTGATTACTTTCAACATGAAGAGCTGCTTTTAATTCCCTGCCTTTGTCTTTCATATTATCCAGGCTTACTCTGTTTATGATCAGGAGATTGGCTACTGCCAGGGACAGTCCTTCCTGGCTGCAGTGCTGCTGCTACACGTGAGTTTATACACCAGTGCGGTTCTTAAAGACAAGTTTTTTGTTTGTTTATTTAAGCCAAGAATAACATTTTAACATCAGTTATCTATTTATTAAACAGCTAAATTATATCTTGTACAGATATAATAAATGTGATTTTGCAAACTCATGGTTTGTAGCCAAGCAGTTAGGACAGAAACAGTCCAACACTGCCCCCTTGTGGTTGCTTAAAAATTTTAGGATTGGATGTAGGAAACAGATTATAACATATTACACAGACACAAATATAATTTTGGGGATTAGATAAAGAAGTAAGAGAACCAAAAATAGTTGCAGTTGTATTGTGGTTGGACCTTTCCATCCATCCATCCATCTAACACTCAGTCCGCAGAGGTTTCACACAGTTTGCAAAACTCTGGAATCGTTTTATTATTTCCCAAATATGAGAAAAAATATAAAAAAAAATAAGCCAGGGAATTTATTTTATTTTACTTCACATCCTTTTATGTAAATGTCCTCTCCATCCTTCCATGCTTTTTTTTTTTTGCTTCTATCCTTTTTATCCATCCACGTTCACTATCTGCATTACTTCCTTGTCTCCTTTCCAGTGCCCTTCCTTCTCTCGGTCCTTGTACTCTTTAATGCCTTTTTATGCCCTCTTTTTCCTCTTTTCATTTGTTCATGCTGTTTACTTTTCCTTGTGCCCTTTTTTATTTTCCTCCTAGTTCTTCCTTTCTTTAGACTGACCTCCTTTCCCCTTGTGTCCTTTCTTCCATGTGTCCTTTCCTTTTTGTATCCTTTCTTCTTTCTCTTCTTGTGTTCTGCACTCTCTTTAATTCTGTCCTCTTTGCATTCTTCTCCCCCCCTCCACTGTTTTCTTTCTTCTGGGTTTCTTGCTGCCTGTACCTTTTCTACATCATGGCCCTTTTTCTTGTGTAGATAATTATTTGTTTTTCTTTATTCTATCTTCTGTGTTCTTTCTTTCTCATCTTTTCTTGTATCCTGATTTCCATTTTTGTAGTTTTTAGTATCTGCTGATTCTAAATATAAATCCTGACCACTATATAAATGTTTACCATAAATTCATGGTGAATTTAAAACTTCTTATTTTGAAATTTAAATCTATCTTAGGTACCTAAAGTATTTTTTTCTTCCATGACCTAGCTTAGGAACCTCCGCCTGTGGTTTTCAGATGTTAAAGCCTGACCACTGACGAAACTTTTTTGTTCTTTGAAAATTCTAACCTAAAGGAACTTTCTTTTTATGGCGGCACTATTTATAGCAGTCCAAATCATTTCCTGAGCCCTGGTATTATCCATTCATAACCTGATCCTATGATTTCTTCAGATGCCAGAGGAGCAAGCTTTCAGTGTTCTGGTGAAGATCATGTTTGATTATGGGCTCAGGGACCTGTTCAAACAGAACTTTGAAGATCTGCACTGCAAGTTCTTCCAACTTGAAAGACTCATGCAGGTTAGTGTGTCATATTTGCACATCTCAGCCTGTTTCCTACAATCTTGTACATTGGTGTTTATCTGAAACCTGGTTGCTCTAAATGGCAGTTACTCCCTTGAGCTGTTTTACTTATTTATTATTTAGTTGTCTGAATCCTCTGTTTAATTCTCTTCCTCTCTTCATAAGGAGTACATACCAGATCTGTACAACCATTTCCTGAATGTGGGTCTGGAGGCTCATATGTATGCTTCCCAGTGGTTCCTAACCCTCTTCACAGCCAAGTTTCCTCTTTACATGGTCTTCCATATTATCGACCTGCTACTGTGTGAGGTTAGTATAACAATAGACTCCATAGCGGTCTCAGTTAAAGGGTCGTCTTAACCATAAAGCGGTTCGTTTTATAAGAAAAACCGAGAGGAACAATACATGATGCACTGAACTCTCTGCAAAGTGATCTGAAATGTCTTTGGTATTTATTTACAATAGTGTACTTTTATAAGGACTATAAGAGGTTTCCTTTAAATAGTTATTCAATTTCCCTTTGGGATTAATAAAGTATTTTTGAATTGAATTAAAGAGCATGTTTAATAATAATTAAAAGGAATATAAATGAGAAAAAGTAGATTTACAAATCTTAATGTTTTGCATCAGTTTGTTTGCTTAAAAAAAAAGAAAAGTGCTGTTTAAGTTAATTTTATGTATGTTAAATATATACAGTAAATATGTGCATTTCAACTGGGACACATTTTGCTGACTGATACCACCGTTCATATAGACAATTAGGGTAAAATGAAAAAATATGTACCAGAATTTTTTTTTTCATTTTTCAAAAATGTGTTGTTTGATTGCACTGATTCTGGCAACATTATCATTTGATTAAGCTTTTTAGTCCTTTTATCAAACTTCTTCAAATGTAAAGCAAAATGTTCCTAGATTACGCAAGATTAGTTGATTTAATCTCAGAAGTGCTTACATTTTCTCAATTACAGTCTGAACAACACATTTTAAACATCTGCTGAGGTCTGCTAGTCATATTTACTTTCCTATTAATTAATTCAGCCTAAGCTTTTCTAAATCACACTAACAGCAGGGCTCTGAGGTGTGATTAATTCAAGACGTTTATTTATTCCAATTAAATACTGAAAACAAGTAAATAAGTAAGAAGTTTTTTGTTCAGAATTTCTAATACATGATAAATGTCATTGTTTTTCAGGGTATAAGTGTGATCTTCAATGTAGCCTTGGCCCTTTTGAAGGTAAGAAATAAATCAGACCCACAAACACATTGATTAGATTAGATTAGATGGAATTGTATTAATCTACCAATGGAGAGTTTTGTGTTGGAAGAGTAGACATTTTTGTTTTTTCTGGATTTTTCTCCAAAGTTATATTTTCCCAGTAAAAAAAATGTAGTTATTCGGTCTTATGATTGTATTTAAAGTTGATTCTTGGTCAATTTCTAAGTGAAAAACAGAACTTTTTACAAAAACCTGTTCATTTTCAATGTCAAATAAATTAAACTTGAAAGCATCTTTTGTTTCAGCATTAAATCTGTTTCTTTTTTTCCCCTCAGACATCAAAAGATGATCTACTGCAGACGGACTTTGAGGGTGCTCTCAAATTCTTTCGCGTCCCCGTCCCAAAGCGGTACCGCTCAGAAGAAAATGCCAAGAAGCTAATGGAGCTGGCCTGTAGCATGAAGGTGAATAAAAATAAAACCAAGTGACTTATTGTTCAGTTCAGGTGTTGTTTTTAAAGTGGTAATGTCTTGTTTGGTTGAAAAATCTTCAGATATCTTCATCCTTCCTGTCATTGTATCTAACTGTTATCCAGCAGTGCTGCTCAGATACCACTAGGGGTCATTGTTGAGTTTTACTATGACTAATATAAAATATAGAAACACACAAACCAGACCCTCACATCCATCTCCTAAACACTCCCACCTGTGTCCTGACCTGGTTGGAACAGTCTGGCCCAGTTTGGAGGATTTGACTTTGAAGGTAACTTTGGGAAGCAACATTTTTTTTCCATTAACTATTTAAGGAAGCCAGCTGGAAATATTTGATCTTTTAATTCTTCAGATGGGCAGCAGAGGATGTCTATCAGAACTGACTAAAGTGAAGTTCTAAAGAGGCTTCAGTTCTCCTCGTGAAGGCATCAGTTCAGAAAATAAACTAAAAGGAAGCTAGAATCCTTTGATATAGAACCATAAGCTTGATAAACACCTTTGAAGAGATTGTATATTACCTTATGCTTTGAATTCACTTGACGCTACTTTATTGGTTTGGCAAATTAAAAATTTCCCTTAAGGAGAAAGAAGCAGATTTGAATGAATTATACTGGTGTATTTATTTGCAGAGTCTGTTATTTTACCTAAATAAAACCTTAATATCAGAGTGGTTTAGATAATCTGGGATGCAGTTACAGTGGGATTATATGGCTAGAATAATGTTTGCCCTACTGGCTAAAGTTTGTGCCTTTTAGCTCTGAATTGCATCCATTGTTTTTTGTCAGATGTCTTTATTTCCCCTGTTTCACTTTGATATTCAGCATGTTTTATAATTTTCATTTGTAATGTTTTAAGAGATTTAGGTTAGATTTGATTAATTTAGCTAATTTGGACTAAAAGCGGCATGAAGAGTTTTTCGGGTGGTAAATTTGCCTGTTGCTTAATTTGCCTGTTGCTTAATGTAGAGCATTACATTTCCACTAGGCTGTAGGTGGTTTTGATCTGTGGATTAAATGAGTCGTTTAAACCATTGAGTCTTTAAACATCTGCATAGAAGTAGGTTCTGAGCTGTACATGGCTTTATTAAAATATGTCGTCTTCACACCAGACAAGCTTTTACTTGAACAGCTGAAAGCAGAATTTCACCTCAGCAACAAAGATTTGTTTTTGCTTTTTAAAATCATGAAATAAAATAATGAGAATGTCACACCCCTCAAAAAAATATGAAATGAACTGAAAAATAATCTTAAGATCAATTTGATTTGTCTGCATCCTTTTCAATAGCCTTGCATCAAGTCTCTCATCAAATTATTTAGTAAAAAAATCCCTTTGCTAAACTAATAAAATAAAGGCTGTAAGAGGCAGAAATGGGAATTCTCCTCTGTGGAGATACTGCAGTTTGGATAGAGCTTGTAACAATTTAGAGGACAGATAATGTTTATTAATGGAAACATCGACTCTTGTTGGTTATATAGGAGTTATTAAAGAAAATGGCAAAAACAACTCAATAGACTTTCCAAATTGTCGTTTTACCTTTCTAGATAAAAAGATCTAACCTGATTTATAACAATAGCGTAGGTATGAACTTTTTGCAGCAGGAAAAAAAAAACAGGTCCCTTTGTTTCCTCTCTTTGTGTTGATTCAGCTTTTGCTCGTCTTCTGAGATCTCATTATCAGCACACTGCTGTTTAACAGTAACCTCCGGTGCTATTGAAGCACTTTCCTATAAATAACAATCCCTGTTTTCAGTCTCACTTCATTTGTTCAGTTTAACTTTTCAATGAAATCATGAACTAAAACTCACTGCCTTCAGTTTGTGTAAAATAATAACACAATAAAGTCGTCTTTTGTTTAGTTTTTTAGGTAGGTTTAGGAAGATGGCTTCAGTTGGTGACTCATACTCAGGCGGGTTCATATAGCAAAAAATATGAATTGATAAACTCAGTATTACCTTGGGTTTTTGTCTGTACACATTTACTGCAAATTAACATTTGTCATCCATTTAAAATGGACCTGCTAATGCTGATTTTTAGCTTATAGTCATTTTTCTTTCAATGTGTTATTATTAAAAGGTACAAGAGCAGAATTCAGAATATTTCCTGTCATTTATTATTTATATTAGAAGCAGAGATGCTTTCTGTCTGTCGCTGCTTTTAGCATCTTAAATTAGCAGCAGTGTAAACAGTTTTCCTGCCTAGCTTTTCTCCTGATACTTCGTACTTATATGTTCAACTATCAGAGCGAGTTTTGATTTACCAACCACCTATTCACAGATTTAGGACTCTCAAGCTTGAAATTGTCTGATTCAGGCCACTAGAGAGTCGCTCAGTGCATCTTCAATTTAAGCCAGGTTATTTACTTTTTGACAGTGTGGATGTATATTACCCAGCAATTCAGCTGTTTTTCAGTAGAAGAAAAAATGCAAACTGGATAAAACTAGTTGTCTTAGTCAAGTAAAGGTTGCTGTTTATAGAAGTTTAGAACGATTTCTGCTGCATGACAGTAGCTGGTTATTCTAATAATATATATTTTGTCCTTTGACATGTTTCAGTTACTACTTTTCTGATTCTTCTTGCTTAAATAGATAAGTCAGAAAAAGCTGAAGAAATTTGAGAGGGAATACCACACCATACGGGAGCAGCAGGAGCAACAAGAAGCCCCCATCGAGAGATATGAGGTGGAAATACACACAGAAAGCATGAACTATTCTTTCCCAAATACACTGTTAATGTTTCTTTCTTAAATATCAAAGCTTGAGTATGTCTTAATTTGGGTTGTCACAATACAAAAAATGTAAACTTGTTATGGATGTTCAGCAATGACTTGATATTCTTTTCAGTACAGCTGTAAACATTTGTTTTAATGCACAAGATATTTGTTGTTCAGAGCAAAACTTTCACAATATCTTTGTTTATACATAGGGGACAACTCAGCTTTCATTTAGAAACAAAAAGATGATCTATGTTTGGCCATAAAACTGATTAGAAAGTAGTTTGTATAAACGTTAAAGTCCTTTATGGAAGAGTTTACCTTTAATTCATTGATGCGATTGTTTTCTTTATTATAATCGCTTATTTTTAGTATTAAATGGGTGCTGCAGATGCATACTTCTAATAATCAGTTTCAGTCTAGCTCCACCACAACCTGTGCTTTTAATAGCCAAAAATCATTTTTTGTACCACAGAAAAACACTTAGTCTCTTAAAAGGGATATATGTTTAGATTTTTTTGGCTGAACTTAATTTCTTAGCTGAGTTTACAACTTACAGCAGTTGATTGGTTTGTTCAAGAGATCAGAAGCTGGAAGAAATACCTCAATCTTGGTCATTGTAATTAAATTGAGCGTCTCTGAAAAATTCATTGTTTTTGTATCAAATAAATTGAAATAACGTTTATCTTCAAAGCCCTTGTCCAATGTTCGTGTCCTTATTAGGATCATTTATTTTTTTGGTCTTGGGTACTTAAGAGGTCTTGTATTTACTCAAATAAGTGAACATTTTTAATTTGTATGTCATTTAAAGTCATATTTTAAACTGCATCTGATTTCTTTCATTATACAATGTAGATAAGACAAATAAAAGAAACAGTTTTAAATGTTTTTCTAATGTAAACAAACAAGGAAAAAAGAGAAAAAACGAATCAGCTGACGTAAAAACATGATCTTTTCTTTCTCTCTTGGTTTCAGCGTTTTCCCCTCCATGTTTCATCTGATTGTCAGCTTTCAGTTTAGCGTTCTGATGTTAATGATGTACAAACAGGTTTTATCTTCCTAAATAGTTCAGTGTCCTCTTCCTCTACATTAAAACTCTCACCTGACCTCAGTAAACTTTAACCCTTCTCTAGAACGAACTGAGGCAGGAATAGTAGATTACACATTCATATGAATTCTTGATGATTAACTTGTTTTCCCTGTTCTGCTGTCTCTTCACTTTTTCTTCCTCTTTTTTAATGTTTCTTCCTTTCTCTCTGTGTTCTCTTCTCCCTCACTGTTCTATTTCTCTGTGTTTGCATTTGTCTCTCTTTGTACTTCTATTCTCTTCCTTGTTTTCTGCTGTCTTCCTTTCTTCCTCCTATCTGTTTCCAGCGGGAGAATCGTCGGTTACAAGAGGCCAACATGCGTTTGGAGCAGGAGAACGATGACTTGGCACACGAACTAGTTAGCAGCAAGATAGCTCTTCGGAAAGATCTGGACAATGTAAGCCAACAGAAAAGCATGCATAATGTAATGTGTCCCGTTTAGCAGAAGTAAACCATTTGTAACAGAGTCACAGCATAAGCTTAGCCTTTATTCTTGATCTAAAATCCTGAAGAGTATTTTGAGTTCTGTAAAATCTTAGACACCGTTTAAGGCACAGGTTGCAGATTTATGTGGAGGCTACTTGTTGACCTACCTTCAAAATGGAGCAGGTAAAACAGAAAGTAGGGCGAGTCAAACTTTGAACAGCCTTTTCAGCTTTCTGGTATCTTGTCTTCTCTCGTGTGTTTTTGTTCATGTCAGGCTGAAGAAAAGGCAGATGCACTGAATAAAGAGCTGCTACTGACCAAACAGAAGCTGATTGAATCTGAAGATGAGAAGAGACGTCTGGAAGAAGAGTCTGCACAGGTTAGAACTTTCTTGAGCTTGAAAACACAGACAGTACCCCCAGATTGAATGCAATTTATTTGATGAAGGGATGATGTTGGGTGATAAAGTTTATTTAGCACAAATTCACAATGTTCTAAATTGTCTTCAGGTATGAATGTGTGCATGGATGGTTGCTTGACCTGCACAGGGGACCTTTTCCAGGAGCAGGAAAGAATCTGTTGGTAGAACCAGGTTCAGTTGAAGTTACCCACCTCAGTATGGAGGCAAAGCAAAGAGCAGATATATTTTATAAAAGCATTACAGGCATCACTTTGCTAGGTGTACCCTCTATGCTAACGAAAAATAAAGGACATGGTTATTTGCAGAGAAGATCCATCAAATACTACATAAAGGGAAAAAAAGACCCAACTAAAAAAAGATATTTTATGGCAGGGATGTCCTTGAGGTCTGCTGCTACTTTTAGGTTTAGCGTTTGCTTCCCACAAACACACACACACCTTTTAAATAAGCAACACAGAAGCACTGACCCTGAGGTCTATAGGGAACAAAAATAGAAAACACTATGTGTTAACCACAGCAAAATTTCCAATAATCCATAAATGAATAGGACAGAATAGCATAAAGGAGAAACGGTCACTTACATACCAGATATTGATAATCTAAAGCTTTGTTGTTGGATTTGTATTTTTATATATTTTTTCTAGTTTATACAGGAAGCGGAAGAAGAGAGGCTAAAATTAGAAAAAGATTTTCTCTTGGTATTACTGGCTGCCATTGTAGTTGAAAGCTGAATGGCTGGAATTGATAGTCATAGATTATTGAGATATTCGAGAGCCTGAGGTTTGGAATCAATACCAGAAAAGACATCAGCTGATTGTATCCCCCTTTTCCTAGAAGAACCCCCATATTTTTAGCATTTTTTTTTTATCATTTGTGTATTTACACATTTTTTTAGGCTTTCCCAGTATGTTAAATCTCTGCATTCTCTGTTAAAACCTTTTTTTTTTCTTTTGTAGTTTTTCATTCCTTAGAGTCACAAACAGAGGCATCCTTTAATGTGAAAGCCATCAGTCTTTGATGTATATTTTTTCTGGCTCAGTAAAGAAACGAGTGACCTGCGGCCCTCTGTACCTGTCCTCCAAACGTCTTCTGCCTTGTTGAGTTTGCAGCTTTAACACTGAGTGATTTATGCCTTTGAGTGGAGGTTGTATTTGGGACAGAAGGTTGCCAACAGCCTCTGTAAAGTCAAGACTTTTCACAATTACTCTCATATGATGATTGGAGCCTCTGAATCTGCTTTCTCTTGTTTATTTTTGCAATTTATAACCTTCTAACTATGTCTGTTTGTGTTGCTTCCCTCCACAGTTGAAAGAAATGTGTCGAAGGGAGCTTGATAAGTCGGAGTCGGAGATAAAGAAGAACGGTTCTATTATTGGAGAATATAAACAGGTACAAACTTTTAACCTTCAGCTTTGTTTAATAATGAAGAGTTAATTATTTTATTAATAATCATTATATTATTATTATTATTATTATTATAAAAAAAAAAAAGACAGGATGTATATTATCACTGCACCGTTACTAGAGTTTGCTTCTTGTCACAGGAGACTGAACAAGTTATTAGGGAAGTGAAACTAAGCTGCTGCCAAGTTTCCCCTTGGCTTTCTTGAAATGAGTTTAAAATACTTGAAGTTCAAAAAATCGTTTAGGATTTACATCTTATTCAAAAACTTTAACCTAGATGTGTTAACTTCCTTCTAATGGAAACATTGAGAGATACGGCTGTTATGATGGAAAACATTAAGAAAAATTTTCCTGACACCCACACCAGTTATGTGTTGGAGTTTGGACTTGTTTTTAATTTCTTGTCATTTTGTGTTTTAGTCATTTTTAAAACTAATCTTCAGCTATGATATACGACTTTCAAAAGAAAGAAAGGGAGTGCCTGTAATTATTAGGACATCTGTTGAAGTAAGCCATTCTTTGAAGTCTGTTTATGCACAGTCATATAAATAAGTAAAGCTTTCTACAAATGTTTTTTATTTTATTTTTTATTTTTTTGTTATAGTCAACAAATGTCACCTTAACCAGCAGTGAAATACTGTAAGCACATTTGGTTGTGTGGACAGATGTAGTACCCCATTTTGGCCTCAGATGGCAGTGTTGCTTTTTTTTTTTTTTTTTTTTTTCCTAGTTCTCTGAGACATATTGTCCCTTTTAATGCCTTTTACAACAGAAATTCCTCAGTTGTCTAATAGTTTAGAAATTCAGATTATATTTGTGGTAAACCTTAGTCCTAACATTACAGCTCCTAAAGCAGTCTTTTCTTTTGACTTTTTTTTAGCAGCTCTTTGATTTAAAAAAAGGATTTACTCTTCTAAAGGCTGTTAACCTGTTTAGGCTTAACCTGTGCATAAAAAAAAAACATGCAGGGCCATCTCCTGTCATCTTTAGGTTCTGTTTTTTCTGTTGTGCAGAATTAATTGTTGAGTTAAAGTCAGCAAACTGTCCTACAATATGATTTGATATGTTGTGTCTCTGTCAGAGTGCAGAGGAGCCAGAAAAGCATTTAAATATCAAATGGCTTCAAGCTGAGCTCCACGAAAGATTGACATTGACCCAAGAGGAATAACTCATAATGTTTACCAGCTCTCAATTGAAATATTTAGACAGCATAGGTTGCCAGCAGTTGGCAGTTTTCATATAGCAGTAAGTCAAAGTATGAATGTTTGGCTCTTTTTCATTTCGCTTAAATCTCAGAAGCCCAACAATAATAAGAAAAGATTTTCAACACGAAGCCCTGTGTTTCTCGTTGCCATGTTTTTCTATTAAGACTTCCCTCCATACTTCACTCTATTATCAGCCGACCCACCATGGCTACATTTGGCATACTCAATTTTTTTTATTTATTTTTTTGTAGGCTTGAGTCGTATATTTACAATGACTGCATGTGAAGCTCTTTCACATTTATCCTCTCATTCTCATTTTTCTTTTATTTAGATTCCATGTCACATACACATAGTTATGCAGGGAGATGTATACATTTTAGGGGGGGGATTATTATTTAGTTAATAAAGGTGTTATGTTGTGCTAATCATACCTCATACCACTTTCATTTTCCACCTTTTGTCTTCCTCTTCGGATGGAATACCTTCCAGGGAAAAATGTTTAAGGTTACCTACGCAGCTTAAGATATTCGTACCTCAGATCAATGCATGTATATGCAAAATTTTGCTTCGGCCATTTAATTTTCTGCAACAAAGGAAGCAGTTTTCAGAAGCCGATTTATTTCATCTTCATGCTGCACTTGCGCATCACGGATAGCTTTTGGCCACAACATCTTTAGCTGAATCTGCCTCATGTTTCGTTTTCACTGCTGCAGTGGGAGAAATAGCAGAGTGGTGGAGGCGCAAAGTTGAAGTTTTACAACTTTGGCTGGTAAAGGGTATGGGAGCGTGCGTTTTACAGATTTTACTGGGGATGGAGCTTGATCAACGGTATCTGGGTCAATCTCGACATCCCTGGGTCCGCATCGCTTTTGATTTGTGTGGGGTTTTTTTTAAGAAGCTGTTGATACGTAGATAGATTTGCGTTTTAATCAGCGATCCATATTTGGAATATTTTAAAGGTTAAAGAAATTAAATATGATAACCACTGGTTTGCCAGCCAAAAACTACACTGTGCTTTAAGAGAAGATGAAAAAAGAAAAGTAGAAGTTTTTGCACGGGTGAGAAGTGGAGATATTCTTCTTCGTCTAAATCCGAAAACTTCCACATTAGTACCTACACATTTAAAAAAAAAGAATTTCCTGAATTATAAAAACCGGATTTGTAGGAATGGAAATGGATCAGATAATTCCAGCTATCCAGCATTGAATTTCAGGCCCTGCAGTAGGATAAACGAGTTCATGGTTTGCAGAAGATTTTTTACCATTCTGTTATTATTGAATGAAGAGCATCAGGAAGACAAAGGGACACACCAGATTGGTTAGATTGCAGCATATTTCTGCATTCAGCCTCCCTCAAAGAAAATGCATAGAAACCAGCCATGATTGGTTTTTACTAGGGTTTCACATCTAGATTATTTTTCACAGTTCTCCTTTGCAGAATAGTCCAATCTCATTCAAACTGAGCAGAGCATCTGTTAATGCACCCAAAACAATCTAAGCATCTTCTTAATTAAGTTTGTTAAAGTGTGAACATCCAACCTATTTAACTTGGCGTTCAGAGCTACAAAACCAATTATGAATATTTTAAAATACGGTACTTCTTAACAGCATTTGTTTTTTTTATAAATTTTTTAGGCTTGTGAAGTGAAAACTCCCATATTTTCAGATGGCAGCCCTCAGCTGAACCTAGATTTTGATGACTGAGGCTATGAGCATATTTTAAGATCCATCGGCTTCAATTTTCCCTCAGATCTGTCACTAAATGTTTAAATATAAACTTGTCCCAATCAAGTGCTATAACCATCAGTGCAGGGATCTTATGCAGCAGTCTATCCTCCTGGCCTATTTTGTGAAGGAACACAGAAATAGAAGAAAAGACTCATTCAGAATCAGACCTTATTTTCACCTGTGTCTAAAAATAATGTTCCTAATCTCAGATTGACAACAGAAAGCATCATTCATAGAGTAGATGGTGTGCGGAGTGTGTAAAAGCAGCCTCAGATAGGAAGCGTTGAGCTGAGAGCTGTGCTGAAGAGAACTGACTCTGAAAATGAGGCCTTGTCAAAAATAGTCTGCTTTATGACAGGAAGCAAACGGGGTTCAGAGATGGAGGAGAGAGAGTGAGAGGAGAGTCTGAGGAAAGAGAAGGAGCTGAGGGGAAATTGGCAGCTTTCACTCTGCTGGGATTGACAAGTTGAAGAATGTCCCAAAATAAACTGCATTGTTTTCCATTCAAGAAAATTCAAATTATTCTTTAAATTTATTTTTCCCTTTATCTTTGCCTGTGGCTGCCAAGTTTATTTTGAAGAAGTGGAGCTTAAACAGCTTTGTACTAATTGGCCCTCCAGCACAAGAGGACTGCTCTGCTATTGGTTGCTTGACCCAGCCATTTTTTTAACATATTTGAATTAATTTTGTCTGGGCACTTCCTTACCTGAACAGGGTTTCCGCAGGTCATTAAAAATTATTAAAAGTCATTAAAATTATTATTTTTTTTAAATTAAGGCCTTAATTGGCATTACAATTCATTAAATATGTTTATTGTGGCATTTAAAATACTTTATTAAAAATGTTTGTAAAAACAATTTTGTCAGGCATATTATATCACGATATATTTGCGTGGAACTGCTTCAGGTTGATCGCAAAGCTGTATGTTCAGAAAAGAAGCTTGAGTCGGAGAAAAAGCTAGAGAATGGGGGGGAAAAAAAATCAAATTTCAACAAAAGTGGCTGGAAAACGAGGAATTCGGGACATGGCTGCAGCCTGTCGATGGGTACCTGTTGGTGACATTCAAATTATTTCTAAGAGCATTAAAAGAGCATTAAAAAGCATTAAGTTAGAATCATTCATTCCTGTATAAACCCTGCTGAAGGACTGGAGAAATATTCCCTAATATTTTTTTCCTGTTGGTTTTAAAGATTATTTCTAAAAGTAATATAAGGAATTACGTAAAAGCATAGACCTATGTTTTAACAAAATATTCCCCAGTTTAAGATATATGAAACAAAAAAAAAAAACAATGCTTGTGTTTTTGTTTTTCCATTTCTATGCTTCAGCCTCTGTCTAAAAGTTTTATCCTTAAATCTGTGCATCTATCCAGCTGTGCGTCTAATCATTCATACATCCCAGGGGTTGACTTCGGGCAAGTGGCTTTCACATTTCATTTGCCCAGAAACTATTTTTACTTGCCCAGATTAATGTTTGATAAACATAGTTCCTAATATTCATTTTTGTATATATATCAATGCAACATGTTTGTTTTTTAAATGTTTTTTTGTAATTCAGTAAGTTTACAGGTTCCTGGTGTGAACTCAAGCCTACATTACCGTGTTAACATGTTTTTCAATCCTTCCTGCACATTCTTTTCAAACTAAACCTTGCTTTAAACTGTTGTGTGCTTGGAAAAATATACATTGTAATGTTAAAAATCTAAAAAAAACTTGACAGGAACTACTACTAACCAATTTAACATGTTTAGCTCTATAACATTTAAATGCACCACTCCAATGTCTAAGAGAAAAAAAATTAATGAACATTTTTTAATGTATGACCACTGTACAGAAGACTGCCATATGATAGAAATATTTACACTGTGCGCATACAATTATTATTAACATTTTCCTAATCCCTGACTGATCATTTTTAATCTAGCGTGTATTATAGTATAGATTAAATTCATCATCCAGCTGCTGCTCTGAACAATTCTCTCCCCAAGAGCTGAATCACGCCATCTAGCGAAAAACCATGCGACTTTTTCAAATCACATGAGAATGTGTACAAAACAACAAAAATGGCGCCTGCAACGCTTGTGGGTCGTTTTCATCGAATGTCGATGATTTCATTGCATTTGCCCATTTGTACTCTCCCGACAATAAAAACTACTTGCCCCGGGCGATAGGGTCATGGTTAACATCCATCCATCCATCCATCCATCCATCCATCCATCCATCCATCCATCCATCCATCCATCCATCCATCCATCCATCCATCCATCCAGTTATGTACCATGAATAAAAACATATTTATCTTCAAATAAAATCAAACATGCTAAAATATTAACACCCTTAATTCTTCATACTAAACTTCTCTCTTTTATTATAGTTGGCTAAAACGAACAGTGGCGTCTGGCAAAATGAAATTTAGAAAAATCTTTAAAAGGCACACAGTGTAACTTTTGTACACTAGGGGTGCTAGACCTGTAACTGCCTGTATTTTGAGTCTTGTTTTTCCTCGCACACGATCCCTCTTAAGTTTTCTCTTGTTAGCCTCCTCAGAAGGTTTAAACTTTATCCTTGCCTCAGCCATAACCAGTAGTGGAGCAGGCAGAAAAATAGTAGAGCAAAAGCATTAGCTCCATCACTGTATAATAGCATGTAAAAAAGCCATGCGTTTTTCCAGGTCACATGACCTGGCTAAACGACGGTCCATCATTTCCCCATTTATAGGTGGTATTTACAGAGGGGAGCCCCACTCGTAGCATTGATAGTGTCTAGCACTGTATATTGGCCTGATATGTCATTTAAAATAACTCATATGTATCAACTCTGTAGGTCACAAAGTCTGCGGTGTGCCTTCAAATTTTACTTGAAAATATGCACCTTGAAAGTTAGTTAAAGAGCATTTTTTCCTAAAATGTATTGTATAAAACTAAACATGCTTAATGGATGAGTCTTTAAACAAAAACACACTTTGTGATGGAATGAAATATGTATATAAAAAGAAGATTGACAAAGTTCGAAAAAGAAAAATGTTTGGCTTCAAATAAAGGACAGATAGAAGAAATATAATGTTATACTCATTGGTCGAAATGTTATTTATTATGTGAATACTTCCATGTTGGCTTCACAGCCATTCTGAATTTATTTATAGATTGTTAAATAGATTAATTTGAGTCATCAAGGACTCAAATGAATGAAATAATATCAGACAGCTAGCTTGCAGATGGAGCAGTCATGGCGGTCTGTGCCTTTATACTGACAGGTGCCCCATCATATGCCAGCTTTAAGAACACATTGTTCTCTTCAACATGTCCCCATCATCACATTTACTTATTGTGGAATATAGCTAAAGTAAGAAATCATTTTTATTTTTTCTGCATGAGGAGAGCAGTAAGAGGAAATGCAGAGTATTGCAATGCAAGCCTGAGCTGATCATTTTGGGATAAAAATAAACATTGAAGATAAAATGGCCTCGATTTGAGCTGAAAGGAGGGTCACTATTGAACTGATTTTAAAGGTTAAGAGATTGAGGATTTGTATGGAAAGAAATAATAAAAACATAGAGTGCAGAGATTTTAATTAGAGAAACTAATATGAAGTCTCAAAAATGAAGCACAACCTGTTAACTCACAGATTAATGTCCTGTGAGACCTGAGGGGAATCTTATAAAACTCTCCCAGAAAAGCCAGAGCTGGACCTCCTGATCTTAACAACATGTCAGCCTGTGATCTCTGGGTTTCACCAAAATGACGCCTCGCCTCCCTAATGTCACTTATGTGAGACGGGTTCAACTAATCAGTGGTGCTGCACATTTCACTGATTAGGAGTTCAGAAACTTAATAGAAACATAATAGGGAAATGCTTTTGATGAAACCTAGGAAAGAGGATGGAAGGGCATTGCTGATAGATTTAATCTATAAATTATCACCTTTTACATCAAACAAATTATTTTCAGATATATCATAATTGAATAGAAATTGAATTGAAAATTGTTATTTAAATAGGTGTCACCCTTAGGTTTATTTTTTTTTTATGATTTTAGTGAAATTTAAATTAATTTAGTCAATTAATTCCTTCCCATTTTAGTCTATTTTTACTCTAAAGATTTTAGTTATAATTGTTTTTAATTCAGATTCAGTTGGATTTTAATCAGCAAGAATCTTGCAAGGATTAAAAAATATCAAGATTTGGCAAGACATGAATATTTTCTCTCACATTTAACTCGTTCTGCAGTAACACCAGCAGTAAGATACACACCTGACAACAGATGAAAACACAGTACAAAAAAACTAGACGAATAAATAACTAAATTCATGTAAATGGATTTAACAAAAAAACACTGAATAGTTTGGAGTGAGCCAGGAATATGAACCTTAATGACACTGAATGTCATAAATACCTGTGTTGGTAAACCAGAACCCTTCTCATATTACAAAGAGGCTGAGGAAGAGAAAAAGAAGAAAAACACAGGAATAATCTGCATTTTAACTTTTGGAAATTTGTTTTAGGTATATAATCTATTCCCTTTGGCTCGATTCTACAGTTTACCTCTTAGTGAGGTGATAGAGGTGTGTTTATTGTTTAATCATCAATTTTATTTACATAAATGAATTACTACCATATTTTCCGGACTATAAGTCGCAGTTTTTTTTAATATATACTAAAACCTATACTCTGGAGCGACTTATGTGTGAAATTATTAACACATTATTATATAATTTCACATGTTATTTTCACACTAAATCGCAAGAGGGGCGACCTAGGCCTCTGTTGATAATTTCAACATTGGCGATAACTTATAAAAACAACTGAGAGGGCTTACCAAAAAGACAATCATATTCTGCAGGTTACAAGCTACAAGTAGAGAAATATGCAGCTGAAATCGGTAATCCAGCAGCAGAAAGAAAGTTTGGAGTTAGCGGAGTTGTTTAAAAGTAACACCGATGAAGAATTCAATAGATTTAGTAATTTAGAGTGACACGGATGGTTTGATAAACTTGTTACCATGTTTTTTATGTCATGTTAACATACCAGGCACGTTCTCAGTTTGTTGTTTGTGTCATTTAACGTTAGCATATCGTACAATTATTCAGCCTGTTGTTGCCTCTATTATATTTTTAATTTTAAATTGCCTTTCAAGATGACATGTCTGTTCTTCGTGTTGGATTCTTATCAAATAAACTTCCCCCAAAAATGCGACCTATACTCCAGTGCAACTTATAAATGTCTTTTCCGTCTTTATTATGCATTTTATGGCTGATGTGACTTTTACTCTGGAGCAACTTATAATCCAAAAAATACGGAACTAAATTATTGGGCTGGGCAATTAATTGCATTTGCAATACAATCGCAAATTTTTTTTGTTTGTTTTTATGGCACTAGTGGCATGTTTTTTTTTCTCACAGTAGGCTGACAGGAAAGGTGGTATGAAAGAGGGGGAAAGACATGCGGCAAAGGACCACAGGTCAGATTCGAACCCGGGTCGGCCAAGTCGAGGACTACGGCCTCCATACATGGGTCATGCGCCCTAACCACTGCATTCTCAATTTAGAAAATTGCAATTTTCAGATCTCTGAGGCTCTCAATTTTTAGTCACAATAGATCTAACAAGAGTAAGACACTAAATTTCTCAGTAATACAGTTAAAGGAGGCAAGTTGTTGCACAGAAGGGAACAGAGAGTTGCAGCTAACACCTAGATCTATGCCTTATTGTAGAAGTAAGAACTTTTTCATGCAAATGTTACAGTAAAGTCCTGCAACACTGGATTCTGGACAATCAGGCTTTCAAAGTCACAAACAAAACTGAAACCCTGGAGTAAAACATTAGCATGCTTTTGCTTAATGCAAAGTATTGTTGCAATAAAGTCGCAATGAAAATGTTGTTTGAAAACAATCGCAATTTAGATTTTTAGTAAAATCGTTCAGCTCTACTACAATGTATGTCAGTATGTGAATTAAACAATAATATATACTCTTCTGATTATGTTTGCTGTTGTGGGATGGATTTCTAATTTTACCCAATGCGTTAGTGTGTGCCCCAGTGACTATGGAGGCAGCCAGGCAAGCAGGTGCTACATTGAACATGCAAATGATACAGTTCTATAACACATTTTTTGGACATGAATTCAGAGTGCGGTAATGTAGGATCAGTGCTTAAGGTTAATATCCTGAAGTAGTTTTTCATCAGAACTGTTAGTCAACAGCAGAAAAGGTCCACCATCATTATCTACATCCTTGTTTGTCTTTTAGTTTTGTCTTTTTTTTCACTGGATAAAGGTCACAAATAAATCGGCATGCGACTTGCAGCTAAGTTATTCAGAAATGGAAAAATAAATTCACTAAAAACAAACATTGACTGTTGGTTTGACTACGTTGTTTGTGTTTCCTGCAGATCTGCTCTCAGCTGAGTGAACGACTGGAGAAGCAACAGACGGCTTCTCGAGGAGAACTGGAGAAAATCAGAGTGAGTTGATACACAGATCCAAACAATAACCACCTTACTCACACAGATGCTAGCTTAAACCTCTTCTGTATGAAGAGTTTTTATTAATATTTTAAATTGGTCTTGAGCTGCACTCAAGTTTTTTTAAAGAACTTTGTCATCTTTTCCTCTTACTGATTTCCAATCTAGCTCTTACACCAGGCCCTTTTAAAATGAAGGTTTTGTTAGGACATATGATGATGTTTTCCAACTATGGCAACATATCAAACGTGATTTAAAATAAAAATGAGCATTTCCAGAAATTATTCCCTACCCTATTGTCCCCATATCCTGTCTTTATTTTCTTCCCTCATTTGATCCTTCATTCCTCCATCCCTCCATTGTTTTGTTCTTTTTTTGTTTGCCATGCATTTTCCCTCACGCCCCTCCTTAATTATTTTCTTCCTTTCATCTATTCTAACAGATTAAATTCTTGGATAACATTCATCTGCCTTAGATCAGTTATCTAATTTAAAGTCTTCTTGTAGTTGGCGTCCTGTCCTTGCTTTTCCTTCAGTTTTAAAGAACACATAATGCGCTACACTGAGATTTGCCAGGTTTCCGACTAATAACTCTCCCATTTCACGCTTGTCAGTAATCCATTGATGAAACAAAATAAATTTGAACAAATTGTTTCCTTGAAACAGACCTCTAGTAACAAGGTGCCTAAAGACGCAGTTTGAAGATGCCAGGTTGTCTGTTTCCTGTCGGTTTATAACAAAATTCTGTTGCACACATCGCACGGATTTTGTAAACTGCTGCTTCAGTTGTGGTTAACGGCTGCTGGTTAGTATGGAGAGGCTATCAGTGTGTGTTTCTGAATGATTTACCTTCAACATGAGAAGAAGATTTTGCATAATGATCAGACTCAATGACGAGCAGCACCACTGAGATTTATTGGGTGCAACTGTACAGATTAGTCTTTAAAGATAGAGGTTAAAAAAGCATATGAATTGTTCAGCTGAATGCAAACGCTCCCTCAGAGATCTGGAAACCTTTAAGCATTTCCACAATGAGGTGTTGTTTGCCTCAGAAAATATTTCTGAATTCAGAAACAGGGTAATTAGAGTTTATTTGGCTCCCGCTCCCCTTAAGAGTGACAGTAGCTTCCCTATCTTGATAAACAGAAGCTGAAGGGAAAACAACCTTTTTCTCTTCCACCCTTGACTTAGCAGGTATGTGGATATGTTTGCTGCGATCCTTTTGTCTCCCTTGGCAGTAAAATCAAAGCTTATTGGAAAAGAATGTGGAATTTGGCCAAGCAGCCGCTGCCAGACACCTGACTTCCAGCACTTTCACACATGGCTCACTGACTTCTAGCCCAAACTGTAGCTGGCTTGGCGGCCATATTGGCAGAAAGCTCTGTCAGGGCTGCCCAACATCTCCTGAAAAAGTTCACAGCACCAAGGACATATTGGAGTTTATTTTCCCTGCAATTCGTTTTTGTGCATGTATCCTCTCACCTGCCACTTTATTAGGTACACCGTCTGATTGCCCCCCGCTCTGGCTTCAAAAGGGCATTATAGCTTTATGGGATAGATTCAGCATGGTGTTGCAATTATTTCTCTACGGTTTTTATGACACCAGGTTATTTTCAGAATTTGTCAATCTCTCCCCTGACATAACAGATCCTGGAGATCTGTGGTGAGTTGGTGGTTTTATCCCACTGGAAGACGTCCTTAGGAAATCTCAACACTTTGGTGTTGATAATGCTCCCGACACAATTATACCAAAACCAGCAGCTCGAACCATTATTTTTAGGAAGGATTATCCAGGCCTTTACCCTATTTATTATCATTTCGGACCCTACCACAGGAGTTTAACAGTTCACATAAAGATCATGTCCTTATTCCCCACTGGCCTTTGAAATAAATAGCTTTCATCAACAAAGCTGCAGCTCATTGGATAGCTTCATATTTTGTTGTGCTTTATCAGCTTATCTGGCATTAAAAGAGTCATAACTTTGTATTTCACATACAGTCCTCCTGAAAAAAGCTTTACATTCCTGTTTATTCAGTTTTAGGAAACATTTTTCTTTTTTAATTGAGCTCATTCTCACCCTTTTTATACCTTTTTTTTTCTTCATTAGGTACATATGAGAATTTTGACTTGTGTGTATGGAAGTTTATGTGAGCGTAGTAGTAGCAACATGGACCATGGTTCCTCAGCCTCCAGAGCAGCCTCCTTTTTTCCCCCCATTCTGTACTGAAATTGAATTTTAAGTCCAAATGCCTCTTTATTGGCCAATTCACCACTATTGCTGGTAATAAGCTATAAAACAGGTAGAGTGGAATTTCGAAATAGTTCTTTTTCAGGTTTTCAGAATTTTATTTTAGTCTTAATCCATCTGTTTATCCCTTTCTCTATCTCCAATCTATCACTCTACTCTTCCATTTTTCCATCCTCCCTCTTCTTCATCTATCCCTGTTTTGACCGACTAATTAAAAACCTCTGTAGACTCTGCACTAGATGCTTTGAGCTTGGAAACTGTGGCGTTTTAATTTAAAAACAACAAGAGGTATCTAGCTTTCAGTTTTAAGCGGTAAATATATGTTAATTGGACTTTGTAATCAGACACTAACAAAGCTTACCACTGATACTCGAGGAGCAATTTGAGCCTAACGCTCTGCTGCTTCATTAAGGCTTATCTATAATTACTTTGCATTTGAATCATATCAGACTGAGTTTAAAGATGCAATGTTGTAATTAAATACTCATTTCTGAAGCACTGTGTCGGATTAGAAACACAAATGTTGTTTCACACACTTAAGTGAAGCTCTGCATTTGAATGTAAAGAGAAGCAGAAAATAAATAATTTTTGCCCTTTTATTGGTTTAGTATTTTGTTTTCTCTCTGACCTCTTAAATTCTCTTGTAGTCCAAAGTTGAAGGCTGTGAGAAGTGCAGCAGTCTTTTCAACAAAGAGGGCCGTGTGCGAACTGCTGTGACCACGGCGCCTGCAGACGGGACGGAGGAGACTGATGAGGAGAAGGAGGAGCTGAAGAACCAGCTGAGGGAGATGGAGCTGGAGCTGGCCCAGACCAAACTGCAGCTGGTAGAGGCCGAGTGCAAGATCCAGGTACAATATACACAGAGTTAGGACCAAAATATAACTTCTGTATACAGCAGTGGTCACAGAGCTTAAAAAAGACTTGCTGGTGTTTTTTTTGTGTTACTTTCTTATAGCATTTCCAAGCAAGCTTTAGAGTATTAGCTTAAATTAAACAGCAAAGCCTGTATCCCACCCGCACAACTTCTCTAATTGCAATTGAAACCTTTATTCTAACAGATGCATCCCAGTATGCGAGCTGTACTTGTCTCTCTGGCAGTAAGACATATTTTGACAGCTTTTAATAAGATATCCAAGATGATTCTATTAGGAGGTTACAGCTGTCTTTGACATGTGGGTGGTGCTTCATTTCCTCTTTCTTCAGGGTTGTTGGTGCATATTCATTTCCTCATATCTAAGCTACCTGCCTTTTTCTGCCACAGCATGTCAACTGCATAGATAATCAATTAAAAGGCCATGATCCTGTTCTACACCACTCTATCAGCACGCTGCAGGAGAGGATCTTTAAATCAAGGAGGAGAATTTTCTATTAAACAGATATGATTAAAGAAAGAAGAAGCTGTGGACCTGATCTAATTGAAGGAAATGAAGAAACTAATGTGGTCACCAGCATCTGAAGAAGCATTAAGGCCTGAGTTTTAGT